AAGTTGCACAATGTACGGAAATAATTACAGTTATCAGAAAATTATACGAAAAATGAGAAGCAATTGGATTATATAAAACTAATTATAAGAAGTAACTCAAAAATGAAGTCAGAGTTTAATTAAATTTTTTGGTCAAACAGCATCAGAGTTTTTGTTCTAACACACCCATAAAAAAGGTAATAATTAAGTACTTTAATATTTCATATGTTCCTTATTACAATCTGGGATCGAATCTGCGGCCTTTTGAATTAAAAGTCAATACCTAATACATTGCTGACTGCACCACAAATTTTACAATAAAACATTCAATTTCGTGTTACACTTTCTGGTTTGAAGATAAGAAAAAACTTGTAAAAGTTTGGTGTCGATTGTATTATTCGTTTTTGAGTTATTGTGCGATCGGACGGGCGGACATGGGTAAATTAACGCAGAATTTCACCCTGAGAAAGAATATGTACATATGTCCATACCGGAGACAACTCCTTCAAATGGTTACAAACTCCATACTAAAGTGGCATATTCACTGTGTATAAAGGGTATAAGTGCAGGGTATAAAAATTTAGAACATACTGTAGAACACAATGATAATGTCTTGGTTTAAGAAATATTAGCTTTTAAAAATTTTAGTAATTTTATTTTTAAAAGTCTTTATGACGACACGAAATATTAAGCCTTTATCTGGCAGCACCTTTTCACTACAAAAATCATATATGTATTTTTATATATAGTGTACAATTACTAGTTCAAAATTAAGATAGATTCTTTTAGATTTATGTAAATTCTCTTTACTAATTAATATATAAGAAATAAAATAACAAATTAGGAAGAATAGGTTCAAATAGTTGCAGAAAATCATTTGTTACGTTTACCCTCACATAAAACCTGTTAATTTGTACGCAATTCCTAAATAAATTGAGTACAATTTTTTGTTTTCAGTCAGATGAATTAAAATATTCTAAGAAGTCGTAAGGTTGTAATATGAAGCATAAATACTTATGTACTTAAATAATTAGAAAAATAACTGAAATTGTTATAGTTAGGCTTAAATTTGCATTAAGCGAATCTAATTGAACTTTTTAATTTTCAAGTCATAAAATAAATTAACATTTTTTGTTTTTGTACGGAACATTTCATAATTAATACAATAGAGATTCGTATATAGTCTATTTATGTAATACATAAATTGCTTTTATACATATGTATATATGTATACATATTTGTATGTCTGTTCCTCTAATAAAATTTTTCATATGGAATGTTTTCGTTTTAATACTTTTTATACATTTTACCTACTTATATTTTCAGTTCTTGTTTGCTCTTTTTTTTCACAAATAAAACCTTTTAATTGCTTTTCTTTAGCATAAAATTTTAAATAACACATTTGTGTTTAGCGGAAGAAAAATAAAAATCTTTGCGAATTTTGTTGAATTATGTTTGTTCTTGGCAACTTAACCTCAATTCTCTTTTTGAAAAAAATAATTGAAACTGTATGACTTTAGCGATTACAGTTTTGTTTGTTAAAATAAGAACTTTAGGAAAATTAAATTAGTATCAAACAAAGTTGTTTGTGCAGTAGCGCATTTCCAAGAGAAAACTCTTGTATACATATTGATAGTTAATAGTTCTTACATACTTTTAGAATGCGAAAAAATTAAAAGAAATCGTAGAAAAGAAAACTTTTCTACTATATAGGAAAATAATTTTCTCGACAACTGGGTCTTTCTCAGCTTTCTTTTATAAACGTTGTAATAACTATTCAAGCAAGGTGGATGAACGAGCAGAATGGAACTAATAAGCATATTTTTTTTTTGATTTTCCTTGGAAATGTGTCATGAGTATGCAAATTGAGTACATATAAATAGTATATAATATATACTGTATATATATTATATATATAGTATATAATATAACATATATATATTATATAAACAAAATATTTATAAATATATATATTCAATATACGGCAGAACTTTCAGATACATATACGTAATTTGTAATGGCATAATTTTCATATGTGCTATGTCATATATTGTTTATATACATATATGTACACGCATTTTCTTGTCTTTGAATAAATTTTTTGTTTAACACAATTCCCATAAATGTACCTGATTGTGGGCATTTAAGTATAGGTAGTTTCAATACGTACTATTCGTTTGATAATAATATCAAATTTATTAAGATACGTGCTTTGCGTAATAAGTGATAAGATAACTTTGATCCTTGCTTTCAAATATTTTCTATGTGCGGGATTTGTATCTTTTTGTCGTTTTAGATATTAAAGTGCTTGGCTTAAGGATCGTTGGAATTGATAGAATTTTTGAAAAATTAAACTTACATTTGAATACTACCCGAAACGTTAAGTCGAACTTCATTAAGTTTTTAATAAATAATTAGAGTATTCCTATTTTTGAGGTAATAATTTTCATTGAATATTTTAATTAAATCTATAATTAATTGTGTATATTGGAAAAATATTTTTTAATTTACTTTAAATTTTTGTTTTTAATTGTTATTAAAGTTGGGTCAAACCAATGGTTTGTATTGTAGAACTTTTCCCTTGAACAAGTGAAAATTCTGCTTTTAAATACTGTCTATGTATATACATATCACACTATTAAAATTATTTTCACTCATATACAAAACTATTTCTAGCATTGCATATATTTAGGATGTTGCATATATGCAGTCTTTGAAATAAAGCAAAAATTAATATAAAGTGGGGTTGACGTAACGCTCGATTTTAAGGTTTAATTGTGTGAGTCAACATGATTGACGCTGTACGAGTTCCGAAAATTAGAATAACTGAACTCAAGGCTGAAATCAAGCTCTTAAAACATAACAAGGCCCCAGATTACGACTTGATAACAGCTGAAATACTGAAAAACCTGTCAGACATTGCTGTAAAAAAGCTACTTTTTCTGTTCAATGCGTCGCTGAAAGTCACAGAAATCATCATGGTACCCAAGCCTGGAAAACCTGCCAATGAGATGCAGTCGTGTAGACCTATTTCACTCCCACCGGTGTTGTCGAAGCTGTTTGAAAGGGTTTTATTGAATCGCCTGAAACCAATAATAGAAAATAGAGGTCTCATCCCCGACCATCAGTTTGGGTTTCGGTCTAGACATTCCACTATCGACCAAGTACACAGGCTAACAAACGTCATTGAAAATGCGCTTGAAAGCAAGGAATACTGCTCAACTGTCTTCTTGGACGTAGCCCAGGCGTTTGACACGGTTTGGCACAAGGGCCTGAACTTCAAAATAAGGGAGTTTCTGCCTGAGCCATTTCCAAAAGTATTGAAGTCCTACCTTTCTGACAGAATCCGCAAATTCTTTAACGTGAAAATTTTGATTTTAGTCTGCAAACTGTCTGAAACTAAAACTTTTACGGACAGAAATGTAGTAAACTTTTTACCCGTAATTGACTTTGAATTTTGAGCCTCCGTAAACGTCAAAAAATTTTTTTTCCAAAAAAAAAAAGGCGCGTGTTTGGTTCATCATTTTCATAAATTTAACAAAAACGAGAAAAAAAGTAGAGTTGACCTTGTCAACTCTGTGATACCCGTACGAATTTGTTATCCTATGAGCGAATAACTAATGTGCCATAACTAACTATGGCGCAGACTATGACTTTAAGTTGCCGTATTACCATATTAATTTATGCAAAATTTCAGTACTATGTGTTTTTCAAAATACTGGTTGTGCCAAACTACTATTGAAGTTGTATGGCAGCTACCAGAAAGAGCCAACAAATTTTAGCGAATTTTATCAAGCACATCGGCCCTACTAATATTTTCACTTTTGTGAAATCTCAATATCACAGCTTTTATAGCTTCTGAGATATAGCCAAATAACTTTTGAAGTTGTATGGCAGGTACCAGAAGGAGCCAAGTAATTTCAACGACTTTTATGAGACACATTGGCCCTACTAATATATTCGTTTGTGTGAAATTTCAATACCATAGCTTTAATAGTTTCTGAAATATAGTCAAATAACTTTTGAAGTTGTATGGCAGGTACCAGAAGGAGCCAAGTAATTTCAAGGACTTTTATGAGACACATTGGCGCTACTAATATATTTGTTTGTGTGAAATTTCAATACCATAGCTTTAATAGTTTCTGAAATATAGTCAAATAACTTTTGAAGTTGTATGGCAGGTACCAGAAGGAGCCAAGTAATTTCAAGGACTTTTATGAGACACATTGGCGCTACTAATATATTTGTTTGTGTGAAATTTCAATACCATAGCTTTAATAGTTTCTGAAATATAGTCAAATAACTTTTGAAGTTGTATGGCAGGTACCAGAAGGAGCCAAGTAATTTCAACGACTTTTATGAGACCCATTGGCCCTACTAATATATTCGTTTGTGTGAAATTTCAATACCATAATTTTTATAGTTTCTGAGATATAGCCAAATAAATTTTGAAGTTGTATGGCAGCTACCCGAACCGGTACCTCGGTCACGTCCAATTTAAATAGGGTTCTGGCACTTACTACAATAAATCATTTGTGAAAATTTGGTCAACTTAGCTCAATTAGTTTTTGAGTTATCGTTCGGACGGACGGACGGACGGACAGACAAAGCTAAATCAACTCAGAATTTGACGCTGATCAAAAACATACACTTAAGTCTATATCTAACACCGTTATTTCTTAACGTTACAAACGGTAAGGCAAATTTAGTATACCCTTCGAACATACATTCGTACGGGTATAATAAATTATAATAATTCTGAACTACGTATTTAAATTTCAATAATGAGTACAGATGGACAAATTTTGCCGATGTTTTTGCAATGTGTTGTAGAACTAAACGACAAAAAAGTTAATGAAAAAAATATAATTATGAAAAATATAGAAGTTATGAAAAAAAAGAAACCAGCGAAAATGCTTCTTTTGTTTCATCAAAAGAAAAAAGAAAATGTGCCAAAAGTGAAGGATTTTATAAAGTCAGTACATGAGTTTCCCCCTCAAGTATTCCGAAGTCACTTCAGAATGGAAAGAAGTACTTTTCAGGTAAGTAAAAAAAAATATTTCGAGTAAAAGTTAAGCATGCTAATCTTGTTTGTTAGTATCTATTGAAACAAGTAAAACCTATGTGGAAAAAAAAAGCAACCGGCCGTATAAAACTAAAACTGGAAGTTGCTCTCTTAATGACGATTTGGAGGTTAGCTACTGGGTGTTCTTTTCGGGAATTGTCCAATTTATTCAATGTAGGCAGAGGAGCAACATTTTCAGCATATTTAGAAGTGGTTAAAATTTTATTCAATATGAAAAATAAATTTGTTAAGTGGCCATATACTGAAGAAGCACAGCAAAAATGCTGTGAAGATTTCCAAAATTTAAGAAAAAACCCTATTCCTTTTGTAATAGGATGTATTGATGGCTGTCACATTCAAATTAGTGCACCGAAAAATGACTCCATAAGCTATTTTAACAGAAAGCAAGTGCATTCAATGGTGTTACAGGTACTTATAGTATAAATTTTTATGTATTTACATTTAATACAAATAAACCTACGTAAAACATTATTTTTAGGCAGTTTGCGACAGCAATTTAAAATTTATTGATGTCTTCTTTGGGTGTCCTGGTTCTTGTCACGATGCCGCGGTATGGGAAAATAGTCCACTTGCAAAGGATGTAAAAACGGGGAAGCGGAAACTTTTTAATGAATCTTTCTTACTAGGAGATTCCGCGTACCCACTGTCAAAATTTTTAATTGTACGATACCGCGATAATGGATTTTTAACTGACCAGCAAAACCGATTTAATTATATTCACAGTTCAACACGAGTAATAATAGAACAAGCATTTGGACGATTAAAAACTATGTTTCGAATTTTAAAATATATAGATAGTAAAAATTTAAACTACATAAAATATACTGTCTTATCATGTATAGTACTACATAATTTAATTATCGACTATGAAGGTATTCAAGATTTTAATAACGATGACGATTTAAATTTTGTTGAACCAAATATTGATGATGCTGGTAACAAAAATGTAGTGGACTCAGATGAAGGAGGGGAAATTCGTGACAGATTGGCCATGCTGTTTTGCAGTTAAAAAGTTTTATAATATTATAATTTTATCATATACCTGCAAAAAAGTTAATTCGAATAGAAATAAGTAATTTCAAATATAGTTAAATTGAAATTTTATTTAATAAAAATAATAGGAATTAAAGCCAAAAATCAGTTTTATTGTATTATAACGTACATATCAAGTAAAAATAATTTACCACCTTTCTGTTTTATGGTAGCTATTACAATACTAATCAACTAAAAAAGGAAACAGGCATTACTTCACAGCCTTTTTTAAAAAAACATACATTCTACATTATTTTTTCTTACACGTAATGTAAAATTAGAATTAACTTAAGAATAATCGTCACTTGAATGGTGGGTTGAGGTATCATTTTTTATGGTAGCTATTACAATACTAATCAACTAAAAAAGGAAATAGGCATTACTTCACAGCCTTTTTTAAAAAAACATACATTCTAACTAAATTTTTTTACACCTAATGTAAAATTAGAATTAAACTTAAGAATCATCGTCACTTGAAGCCATGGTGGGTTGAGGTATCATTTTTTGTATTAACTTCTTTATACTTTTTAATGTTTCCAACCTTTCTGCTTCCTTTTTCAATTTTTCATTCTCTATTTTTATTAAGTCCTGGTGTCTAAAAATTGGAAATAGAAATGTTAACAATACATAACTGGTATTATAACAGAAATTAAATACTTACCTCTCTTCATCTCTTTTCGATTCTTCTTGAAGAAATTTTAGGGCTTGACTTATTTTAGATGTTTTTTTAGAAGATCTGGTCGACTCGATTTCAGTTTGCTGAGGAGATGCAGCTGTTGATGCCAAAAATTCTGCTGGTGGATCGATGCTATGTCTGATTCCGTAAACTTCATCGAAAAGTTCGAAATATTCCCATGATGTAACATCGCGACCAGTTTCTTTGTTTCTTCTTTTGATTCGTTTGTAAGTAGCCCATAAATTAAAAAATCTAATTAAGTAATAAATTAAGTTTTGTGATGTCTTCCTTTGAAAGGGTAATATCTGCAGATTCCTTCATTTTTCGTAGAACTTTCCCCCACAACACCGCCTTTTTATGTTTTCCTGATTTGAACGTTTCCTCCATTTCTAACCGCGTTGTTATTAATAATTTAATTACAGAGCTTGTCCATCCGCCCACTGCATCTTCCTCTTCTGATTCGCTGTTGCACCTTCAATTTTTACAAAAATGTGTTAATTTAAACGAAACTTTTTAAAATTTTGCGACACTTATTATGTATACTCGTAGATTTAAAATAATTTTATACTTACACATTAAAAATTAATAAAAAATGTATTTTTTATATTATTTTTAACGTAATGATAGTCACTCAATACATTTTTAAAAATTTATTTACTGAATTACTACGTCAGACTGTTTGCATGTAAAAAAAAAATCTACAATTTTGACGCTTAATTGACTTTTTTTAAACGTTTAAGAATTTAAACTTTGACTGAGAGTAAAAACGTAGTAGAGTATCCGTAAACTCAGACAACTCAGATTTTGTAAAATTTGACGTTTAAGAATTTACCAAATATTCAGGGTAAAATTTGAGGAAGAGTACTCCACCTTTAAAAATTTGAGGGCTGGTGTGCCTCAGGGAAGTGTGCTGGGACCCTACTTGTACTTGCTTTACACCAGAGATATCCCGCAAAGCGAAGAAACTTTTTTAGCAACTTTTGCAGACGATACGGCAATATTAGCGACCGGTAAAACTGTTGAAGAAGCTAGGAATAAATTGCTAGTCTCATTGAACGAAGTGTCTACTTGGACGAAACAGTGGAGGTTCAAGCTCAACGAAGCTAAACCAGTACACGTAAGCTATACCAACAGAAGGGGCGATCCAATAGGTGTCTTACTTAATGGGGTAACAATTCCGTACGCCAACGAAGCCAAATACCTAGGTATGACAGTGAATGCTAAATTAAAGTGGAAAGAGCATGTTAAAAAAAAGAAAAATGAGCTGAACATCAAATTGAGAAACATGTATTGGCTTCTTGGAAGACATTCTAACCTCAAACTACTACTCTACAATCAGGTTCTTAAGCCTGTTTGGACTTACGGTTTATAGCTGTGGGGCTGTACCAAAGAATTCAATTTGAAAATCATCCAAACTTTCCAAAACAAGGTCCTCCGAATCATTGTAAATGCACCATTGTACGTAATTAATGATATTCTACATCGAGATCTAAACGTGCCGACAGTCAAAGATGAAATAAAGAAGTATGCAATCAATCTTCAATCAAGATTACTCCAGCATGATAAACCCCGAGATGCTGCAACTTTTAGATGTTGATCATGTACATCGACGATTAAAAAGGGTCAGACCGCTTGAACTCATCGGCTAGACAAATATAATGTACAGGGAACTCATCAGTGGATGATACACCCATAACCTCCATATTAAGCCAGAAAATTTCCTATATAGGAATTATTTTCTTAGTTGCAATATCATTTATTAAATAAAAAAAAATATTTTTTAATGGAATTTACCGTTAACTTTTTGCGTTTATAGGAATTTGAAAAAGCTTGCGGTTTCGGAAATATAGGGTGTCAAAAATTCAAATTTTACAAATTTCAAGAGGCGATAACTTGGGAGGGGGTGGAGATGGAAAAAAATTTCTTCTAACAAAATGAACTATTTGTTAATGTCTAAAATCCCCTAAAATTTCCAGCTTCTACAGGCTGGGGTCTAGAAGAAAAACGACATCAAAAGTTTGGAAAAAAAAGACTTTAGATAACGGTAAATTTGAACGGCCATTTTGCTTTTCTAAAGTTTAACTATAATATATCGCGCTAGGGGAAGCAAGCCGCTGCCCTTCTGCGCTTGCAAAATTTTAAAAATGCTTAATATGGTTTCATTGCAACAAGTAGTTAAAAAAGGCCATTTTTTTGTGTTTTTTAGGGGGGGGGGGGGGGTATAACTTCTAGAGGGGGGGAGGTAGGTGAAAATTTTGTTCTACGGAAATAAGTTTCTAGTAAAGATCTATATACGTATTAAATTTCAGCTTTCTGTCTTCAAGGGTATAGAAGTTTTGTAAACAAAAAAAGTGTCTACGGACGAACGGACGGACCAATTATTTAATATCGCAAATTTTTATAAAGTACAAGTGAAAATACATATATATTTATTTTTTCAAATATATGAATTTTTTTAAAATAAAAATTTTTAAAAGATAATTTTACAAAAAGTTTTTTTGTAAAATAGCTAGTTTAAACATTAAGTATAATTTAATCAAATAAGAAGCTCGATTTTGTTTTGTAAATATAATGTATCTCATATATGTTTTTATTTAATTGTTTAGACCCGTTCATTTTCGTCGCTAAAATTCTTAATTTCTTGCCTTTCTTTATATTTAGAGTTGCTAAATCATTCAATTTAAAATAACGCTATAAATGAAAGAAACTTAAAAAAATTGCATAAGGTTAACGATATGTAATATTTTACTAAAACCTGAGACGTTTAAGTTATAACAGCCATAAAACAATAATTTGCACATACATACTTATATTATTTATTTTTTGCGTTAACCAAGCCTTTTACTCACCTGTTACAAACCGTATTTACACTGATGATTACACTGACAATATTCGTTTAAATTAAGAGCATACATGTTGATTGCTGGTAACCTTAATTAATTAAAAAATGGACTTTGTTACTAGAAATAGACTTGAATTATTGCGAATTTCTGCAAGACGTTCGAAATAAGAACAAAAAGAAATCGAAGAAACAAAATGAAAAATTGCAAAATATAATAATTCAGTTTTATGTAAGTGCTTGTGGTTGATTTAAAGCTTAAATTTAAATGAAGTAGGTCTTGTTTTTTTTTCAACTATATAAAACGCAAAAAATATTGTTATGTATGCACATATATAAGTGAATTAACGCAAATACTTCTACATAGCTACATAGATAATAATGCAATATTGTTTTTCGCTTTTGTATTTTAAGAATTTTTATTTTGTTTTATAAACAAGTTTAAGAAAACTTTAAAATCAGGTGAGTAGTTTCGTATATTACAAATCTAATTAAGTATGTAATATGAATAACTTTATATAAAATATAGGTCATCGTAATAAAATCACTATAACGTATATATATAATTTAAAATTAATAAACAATTTAATTTCATTTATGATTACAATGCCATTGTTTTTTTTTCATGTGAATCAGATTTAATTCTATTGGATAAGGTCTTCAGCGTAAAATAATCATGTGTAAACATCAAATATATGAAGTTTGTGTCGTACACGCGAAAATATTAATTTTTACATAGGCACAGAGGGCGTTTCACATAAGGTTGCAAACAAGTTCAGGGATGATTCTTTAATTTTTTGCATGATCTTTAATGATTCAGCAGAAAATCGTATGGGTTGGGGTGCAGATATACTTGTTTCCGAGCTTCAGCCTATTGAAAAAAATCAGCCCCAAATTTTTCGTCATATAAAAAATAACTTCGGAGTGGACCATTAGATAATTGTTTTAAAGTTAGATCTTTATTTTTGTTCTTAAAATAAATTAATTGATTGAAAACTTAAGGTCAAACACACTTTTAATTTTTGAAAAAAGCTACCCAAAGTAAGAATTTTGAATTTGTTTTTAACTTTTTTTTAAAAAAACACGAATTTTTCGAAGATTTTTTTTTATTATTTTTTTTTTCAATGCGACAATATGAGAGGTAAAAGTTCTCCGTATAATATTTTCTTCAGTCTCCCAATGATAATCTTTTTTTTTGCTTACTTGAACGGGTACAACGATTATATGTATATAAATATGTTAAAGTCAGATTTATAAATATTTTTATTTTATATTTATTCACTAGTATTTAAGAGTTGTTGATTAATTCAAGCAAAAATTTTTCGGAGCTATTTTGGGGTTTTAAAATTTTTTAGACAATTTTATTTTAATGTGCTTACTTGAATTTTTTGCATTATTTTTTAATTGATCAAAACATTTTCGTTACTTAAATTAAATATATTTGCAAATATTAAGAAATTAG